GACTATATCTTTTGTCATGGCTTGAAACAGAGCATTAGTTCTTTGCCCTATTAGCTCACGTGACGAGGTTGGGCACAGCGTCTGGCAATGAGAACTTCGAACGGAACAAACCTGTAGTCCGCCCTGGGTTGTTCGAGGGAAGCCGTCGCCCCGCTCTGGGGCGGCAGGGGCGACGGGACCGAGCGGGGGGCTCGGATCGGTTAGTGGGCGTGAGCGTGCTTTCCGGCACCCCGCCACATGTGGACTTCTTGGCGGAGCCGTGACCATGGTCGTGGCCACTATGATCGTGGCTGGCTTTGTTCGGCGCAGCAGCAGTCCGTTCGGGCGAAAGGCTGCAACTGTCCGAGCTGCTCCAATCCACGGCAACCGTGGGGTGCTCGATCTCAAAAGCGATCAATAAGCTGCCGCTCGACGGCCTGTACGACCGTGCGAGGATCCGAACCTTCGGCGAGACGGACGTGCATGGTTGCAAGGGTCCGCCGGAGGTGATCGACCATACGTGGATGTGACTGAGCGACGCAACGCCCGGCACCGTGTCCCGATATGGTGCTCGATCTCTTCAACCGAAACGCCATCCGGCGCGCCTTCCAGCAGAATGTGCAGCGACTTGCCGAGGAGCTTCCGAGCACTGCGCAGGACCAGAAGCGAGACCACCACGGAGAGGATGGGATCGATAGGCGTCGAGCAGGAATAGATGACCACGGCAGCGGCTACAGCGCCCACGGAACCCAGCAGATCGCCCATGACGTGGAGCGCTGCGCCCTTGATGTTGACGACGTGCTCGCTATCGCCACGCGTGAGGATCAGAAGACAAGAATGTTCACCAGAAGCCCAGCGATCGCGACCCCGAACATCGGCGCGGCCATGACTGGCTGCGGCTGATTGAAACGCTCCGGGGCTTCATAGACGATAAAGGCGACGATCGCGAACAAAGTGACGGCGTTGATAAGGCCGGCGACGACCTCAAAACGCAGGTAGCCGAAGGTGCGCTTTGGCGTCGGGCGAGCGCTGCCCGAAGCGGAACGCGGCGCGTGCAAGAAAAGCGCCGCCGCGTCTGTCATCATATGGCCGGCGTCCGCCAGCAGGGCCAGCGAGCCGGACAGAGGCCGCCCACCACTTCGACGACCATGAAGGAGGCGATCAGACCGAACGAAAGGAGGACCTTACGTTCATTATCCTTGGTGATGGTCGGGGTGTGGGAATGGTCGTGATGGCGACCATGGCGTGACCATGGTCAGCGTGTGCGTGTGCTGACATGCGAGACTCGCGAATGAACAATGATGACGTATGAATACATGTTCATATGTCATGCGTCAACATCTTTGCGTCGGCCCGGCTATTTTAGTCTCCGACCGTCTCCCCCTGAGCCTTCTCACCTTCGGGCATCAGTAACGCACCGTGAGCAAGCATCGCGTTTCGGCTCGCCAAACAGGACCTGATTGAAGAAGCCGTTCACGACGGTGTAGCGACGATCGGTGAGGTTATTTGACCTTGAGGCTCAGGTCAGTCCGGGCCGACAGATCATAGCGCGCCATGAGGGACACGAGCGCATAGGGCACCTGACGCGTCTGAACCGGACCCATGGGGCTGGCGGCGGACTCGAAGGCGCTGCGCCAGTTCACGCCTCCACCGACGGTCACCGCCCGCAGCGGTCCGGCAAATCGGTAGGTCGAGAAAAATTCTCCCAGATGTCGGGGAAGCTCAGCATTCAACCGGCCGCCGTCGGCGTTTTCTGCCACGAAATGGGCCAAAGCCGGCATAGGTGTTTCCAGCCGGGAAGGATTTCGCCCTGCAGATCGATTTCGACGCCCCCGCGAAGTGGTCCCGTTTGCGGCGAAATACGCCTGCGTTCCATCCGGCAAGAGCTGGCCTGGGTCGATCTGGCCGACATTGTCTAGCCAGATTTGAAGACCGCGATCGATGCACTGGCGCGGCCGCCGAAATAGCTCCCCTTGACCCCGAACTCGACGTTGCGCCCGTTTGTCGGCGCCAGCATCCTCTCGTCCCGGTCTCTGTTGGTCTGCGGATTGAAGATTTCTGGTATAGCTTAATGGCATAGGCCGAATGGTAGGAATCGAGATCAAGCACGGCGCCCGCGTAAGGTGTGATCCTGCCACTTTTGGAGAATTCGGAGGATGTAAAGCGCCGTCTGTTGTTCTAGATCGTTAGAACGTCAACCGCGTGCCGACGATCACCTTGAGCCGATCAACGATGTCGAGCTTGGCGGCACCATAAATGCCCCTGCCGCGTAACGGTACGGGTCCGCGAGAACGGCCGAGCGTCAAAATCGGGCTCGGGATACGCGCCGGTCAATCGAATATGCTTTCAAACGGCGTCGACGGTAGCACGAAGCCACTGCTGAATTCGTTGGCGACCCGCCGCCTGTTCGCCATGACGCCGAACACCGTGTCATGCTTTCGTCCCAAAAGAGGCTGACAGGCCCTGATAGCGTCGCATCGATGCTGTTCTGCCGGCTGCGCGTGTAGCTCGCCGGGGCAAATGGCTGAAGGCCTTTCGCCGGTCACGCGATCCGGATAGCCAAGCCCGGAAAACAAGCGCGCATCCGATGAGGAACGCTGATGCATGACAGCTGCGCGTGCGACCCACTGTCCTGCGAATTGGTGCTCAAAGCGTCAAAGAACGCCGAGTCCAGTGTATTGTCCCAACGGCTCCAGTCGGCCGTCATCGATTTGGATCAGGACCATCGCGTTGGAGTTCCGTCCGAGAACCAGAGCGGCATGCCACCGTGTCGTGCCTTCAGGACGGATCGCCTGATGGTCATAGCCGATGCTGATGAGCGTCCGGGGGCCAAGGTCTGCCTCGACAATGCCGTAGACGCTCCGCTTTGCTCGGCGATATCTGTCCACATGACCCTCGCGATCTTGCAGAATCCTGACCAGCCGGGCACGCACATGGCCATCGCGAGACAAGGGCGCCGAGATATCAGCCATGCCGCGAAAATTGTCCCACGATCCGGCGCTCAGCGTCGCAGAGGCTGCGAACTGGCGACCGGGCCGCTTACGTACCAGATTGATGGAAGCCGACGGATTGCCGGTGCCGGTCAGCAGGCCGGTTGCATTCCCCGCACGACCTCGAACCGCTGAAGAAAGCTGTATCGAGAAAGCTCGCGCCACTGACGAACGCTGTTGGAATCCCATCATACTGGAAGCTGTCGATTGCAAACCCACGTGCGTAGAATGTGACGCGCTCGCTATCGAGGGTTCTCGAAGACAGGCCGGCTGTCGCTTCGAGGGCATTTTGAACCGAATTCAGCTGCTGATCATCGAGGTTCTCGCGCGTCGTGACGGTGACGGCCTGTGGCGTTTCCCGCAGCGTCAGCGGTAGACGCGTAGCGGCAGTCACGACGGGGACAGTATAGATGGACGGCGATTGTCGCTCTCCTGTCCGACGACGATAATCTCGTCCCGCCAGCCCGGCTGCTCGTCATTCGCGGCCCGCCCATCGGAAGTTGGAGACTGCGCTACGGCGGCCTGCAAAAAAAAACGCTATGCCAGAAAATGCGCTGACGGCGCAAAGAAGGCGCGCGCGCCGACGCACGCCCCTTTGTGAGGGCGGGTGAAGTATGGCATCGAAATCTTGCTGGGTTTTTCGTCACTCGGCTCAGCGCGCGAGTTGCCCCTCGAGGGTAGCGTGGTTGTAGTGATCGCCAATCCAGACGATGCGTCCTTGCTCAACGCGAAAGAAGCTTGCTCCCTGAAGGTGACCGGCCCCGCTCTTTACACCGCTCGATGCGTCGCTTTGAATGTCCATTGGACGGCGACCTGATTGCCGGATGCGACTGGAGCCGCAAGCAGCGTGAGTCTGCGATCAGGCATCATTCCGCTGAGCAGCACCGGAACTTCGGTGACCGCATCAACGCCGGCCTTCACCGCCCCATTGCTTGTGTTGAAATACTCGACCGACGGCGCCAGCGTTGCCTTTCAGGCTGCTATGTCCCCGCTGTTCCGGGCATCGAAATAGCGCTGCACCACCGCGACGTCGGCATTGTTCACCGTCTGCGCTTTGGCCGAGACTGCGGAGAATGCCAGAAACAGCAGGCTGAGAAGCGCCGCCCAGAGAGGCCATGCGGAGTTTCTCGCGCCCGATACGGTGCCCGTGAGCAGCGGCGGAATGTCATCGGATATGACGCTGGCCGTTAAACGGCAACACGTTGCCCGGATCAGCGCACAGTGGATTGATTGGCATTTGCACCTGTCGGTGGGGACAGGGGAACGAGGCGTGACGAAGCGCGGCATAGGGTCGCCCTCATGTGATTGATGATGGGAGAACGACGACCCCAGATCCGCCATTCATCCTAACATCCTATCTTTATCACGAATAGTTCGCAATAGCGCTGCGGCCACGGCCCGCCATTTTTTTGTTCAGGCTATTTCGGTCTTGACCTTCCAACGATGGGAAGTGGCACGCCGTCGGTATGAGAGGAACCGCGATCATCGTCTGCGGCTCAGCGCTGCAGTTCGACATCTGCGCCCGATCAGCTGTTCTCAACGGCTTATAGCGGTTCGCCCGGCTGACCCATTAGCTCAGGCGCTCCACCGCGAAGCGATAGCCAAATGAAGGGTATTCGACTTGAACAATCATGATCACATGCAGGACTGGAATGGATATCGCGACGTGCTGATGTCGCGCGTCGGCGAGTTTGCCAAGCTGAGCCCGGATTCGATGAAGGGCCTGATGATGGTTGAGCAGGGCGTGACCAAGTCCGGGTTACTTGACCCCAAAGTCATGGAATTGATCGCTCTGGCCGTGGCAGTCACGACCCGGTGCGACGGATGCATCTCGGTTCACGCCCAGAAAGCGATCTCCTTGGCCTCACGCGCGAAGAGATTGCTCAGGCGATGGCTTTCACCATTTTATGAATTCGGGCGCTGCGCTGACCTACACCGCTCGGGTCTTCGACGTCATCGACGCTTTGCCTGAAAACTGAACAGCAATCGGGGCTGGAGGCTTCAGGCCTTCAGCCCTGTTCCCCCACAGCATCAACGCACGGTGATGGTACGCCCGCAACCGCATTCAATTTCATGAGCAGTACCGGGGAGCAACTCTCTGGCCGGATCGAGCATCCTGCGACGACGCCGCGAGGCTGGCCCCTTCGCCCACTGCTTCACATGCGGGAAAGACAGCCTCGCCGCCGTCAGAATCTCACGGGCGTTGGCTCTGGCCGGTATGGGCGTCTTGCGCTTCGACTTCGCCGGGCTTGGTGGCAGCGCGGGTGAGTTCCGCGATCCGGGCTGCCTCCGATGTGGCGGTTTGGTTTGTGCAGCGAACGCAATGAGCGATGCTGAAATGCCGATCACGCTCCTTGTAGGACATAGTTTAGGCGGGCGGCGGCATGTCTGATGGCCGCGGTGGATATCCGACCGTCCGCGCCGTGGCCACGATTGCCGCCCCGCAGATGTAGCCCATATCCTCAGCACAATCGATCCAGAGTGTCTCACGCGCATCGAGCGCGATGGAAGCGCGCAGGTCAGCTTTTGCTGACAGACCATTTGTCGTCGGTCGCAAGTTCGTCACGGATGCCCGCGGGCGCTGGAAGAGCGGATCGGAGCGCTGCAGCCCACTGCTTCTGCTACACACCCGGCGACGACGTCGTGAATTAAGAACGCATCTCGCCTCTTTCAGGCCGCTTCACTTAAAGAGCTTTGTGTCACTGGATCCAGGCCGACCATCTGTTGCGCAGGCGCGCGGACGCAGAATATGCAGCATCGGTTATCGCTGCTCGGGCTTCGCGCTACCTGCCGGCGACAGACTGGGACATTCGACCTGTCCAGCCATGGCTGGGGTGACCGCGCATGAGACCGGCGCAGGAAGGTTCAGTTGCTATCGGGCGGGGCGTCACCGGTTCCTTGCAGATGAACCCGTAGATGGGTGGTCTCGCGAGCAGGCCGACACCCTATGAGTTGTCGCGGCAGGTCTGGCTGCCTGTACCGTTATCACGATGCGCCCTATGCAAAGCCCGGGTGAACTTGCCACTGGATCAGGCTTTTGTGGCCGTCTCTCTGGTCGGGACAAGGATCGTACGCCGCAAGACCGTTTTAGCCAGGATATCCGCCTCGTCGGGGACCTCACCGCCGAGCAGCGCGACAAGCTACTATCGATCGCCGACCGGTGCCCCGTTGATCTGACCCTCGTTCGCGGCTCCGACGTCGTCACCGAACTCGTTGAGACGCAAGACAAGTCCAGAGGGGCGACAGCAATGGCTGAAGACGTTACCCGGCGAGTAGCCTTCACGGCTGCAGGAAATCACAATGGTGCGACACGCTTCGAGCAGGCTCCGGATGCAGCGAAGAGGCGTTCATCGTACCGCCGTCACCGCAGCGGCAAGCGATATTTGCAGTGTCGACGGTTTGGCGGATCCGGGGTTTGACGAAGAGCCGGACGGCGCGACCGGGAATCAGAGCGGGCTGACCCAGGCTGCCGGCGGTTCGATACGAGTAGTCGGGCAGCCAGAAACTGGAGGCTTCTTGTTGCGTCTCGGCAGCCGCCGTCTGGGGTGCATAAAGGCATGTTCGGTGCGGGAACACCTTCTCAAGGTCGGCGCGCTGGAACCGCATCGGGCTCGACGATAATCAACGAGAGACCTTACAGCTTCGCCATCGTTTTCACGATTGGCTTTTCAACCACAGGTCCGCGCAGTGCGATCCTCAAACGGTTCGTCTCCGGTCGGCGACGGGGTAGATGAGCACGAAGCGCCGCCCATCTCGCACGACCTCTCCATCTCGAAACACCACTGGGGAGAAAGGCCGACGCATCCAGCGGTCTGGCTAAACGGACGATCGGGAAAATCGCTCATCACGGATCGTAAAATCTTACCGGTGTTCATTCTGTCCTCGAGCTGACGGGCTGCTGAGGTTGTCCAGAAGATGCGTCTCGATGACCGCCCGGAGAGGCGTATCCCCTTGGTTGCAACGATGGAGTTCGTTAGAAATGGTATCCCACGCCAGCGAGAACACGGTGCCGGTCGAACTTCCTGACCGTTGCTTCCCAGATCGCCATGGCGATACTCGAGCCGGGCCGAGACCTTATCGAGCAAAGGCGCGGTTCGACGCTGCTGCCAATAGTCCAGCCATCGAACGTCTCTCGGTTGCTCACCACGCCGGACGCGCTCCGGAATACGGACCCGGCGCGCATGTTCTGCTACCTGCCGCGTGTATAGATCAACGTCTTTCCGCCGATGAGATATCCGGCTCGTGCCGAAGGTCGAAGGAATAGTCAGGGGTTGATAGATACGCCATTACGCCGGATATCGTCGCTGGCTCCGACGATGAAGCTTCCCTCGACCAGCATGATATTGGGCGTCACGGTCTGATTATAGCCCAGCGAAGCCGCCGATGAAGCTGTCGCTTTCGTCGTTGATCGTAGCGATGCAACGTATCGGTCCGGGAGCATCGACGCTGTCCCGATTCAGCCGCTTGCGCGCCGATGTGAGGCCCTGAAAACCTGTGCCGAGGCGGGGACTGCACCCAAGGCGACACCCCAACCAAGCCAATTGCGACCAACGCAACACGACGATTTCTTGCTTCCTGAACATTTTCTAGCGCGCCCCGCGATGGTCCGATGTTGAACCGCCAGCGCGCGCGGGTCAGACGGGTTCGGTGCATGAACCGGGCTCATGCACGCAGTGGCTGGGGTCGCTGCGGCCGATACGCGCGTCTTCCGTCCACAACTGGGGCTGGGGCCGCTGGGTCGCGAAGAACGACGCGATGCATTTCTCAGCAAGCCCAAAAGTCTCTATCCGGACCCGGACCGGAGCGTTCCGCGCTACCTGTCCAGAGCCGGGAAGCAATCTCTTCGAGGATAGGAGGGAGGATCGCCGAAGATAATTTCTAAGATGGCAATGAATTAATAACAATTTCGCATTAATCCGCAATTGCCCGAAAAAGTGGACAAACGATGGCGACACTGGATCTCAAAGGCGCTGCGACATTTCGTGAGTGTGGCGGAATCGCTGGCTTTGCCCGCGCCGACTGTAGCACGTCAGCCCCGTCGTGGCCCGCACCGTTGCGCAACTCGAGCACAATCGGAGCCAAGCTGTTTCGAGCGTGCCACGCGCCGTGTCTTCTAACGCCTGCAGGGGTTGTCCTTTTGAAGCAGGCCCCTCTTGGACAACCGAAGCGCTCCAGAGGACGATCAGGACATGCCGTGGCCGTTGAGCGGGCGCCTGTCTATCGGTACAACGAAGATCGCGATGCAGACCAGCGCCCTGCCTATATACGTCGGTTGACGCAGATTCGCCCGGACATCGAACTTGTGGTCGAATTCTCATCCGCCCAGATCGAAGCGTTGCTCTCGGCGGAGATCGACGTCGGTTGGTCCTGCTTCCTGCGTCTCACTCCGGCCTGACGATCGATCAGGCAATCCACAGCGAACGGATGATGCTGGCATCCGACGGTCATCCATGCGCCGATTCGGTCCCTGCTCCCCTTGCCGCTGTCGGCTTTTTCGCCCATGATCCTTATCGTGCCCCCCATACGGGGGCAATTCCGCGAACCATGACGAGATGGTCTCGATCTGCAGCAGGCTGGTTTTCGTCCCAAAGACGGCAGGCTGGCGGATCAGACCTGCATGGGTCTGCGGAAACGAGTGACATGGGCGTGCTGTTCGCGCCTATGGCCGCAGCCGGTTTCTACTGAAGGATAAAAGTTGATCGAAATCGAGGATCCTGTCCCGACGCTTCCCAGATCGGACTGGCCGGCGCAAGACGATCCTTCAGTCTCCTCCAACTTTTCGCGACCAGGACGCGGCAAGTTGAAAGCGCCATTGACGACCCGACTTCTGCATGAAGCCGGCGTTTTCGCGCCGCGACAGGCTCGCAAGATCGTCCAAACCTTGAGCGATCGGCCGTGGCTGATCGATGCCGGGTTCTGGGACGCAACCCCACAAAAGCGAACCAAAAACCGGCCTTGTGTTATTGAACAGATACCCTGCGGGGTAGGGGTAGGGAGGAGGCTCGATCTGCGGCCGACGGCCCGAACCGCCCCGGGTGCGAGTCAGCACCGATCACGGGGCAGGAAACCGAGAGGGATGCATGACGGACCCGAAAACCGCAGGAAATTTATCGTATGGTCGCTGGCCACTCATACCTGCCACAGTGGTCTGAAGGCGCTCGATTTGCTGAAGCGCAAGGGTTACGCTGTCGATGATCGCCACCTCACCACCCCGCGAGGAAACGGACGCCTTCAAGGCGCAGTATCATGTCGAGACCACGCCGCAGGTCTTCATCAAGGAAAGCGCGTCGGCGGGTATGATGATCTGCGCCGATTTTTTCCGACCGACGGTGCGCGACAAGAACGCGGCACCCATCGGCCATCATCGCTTTGTTCGCGATGGCCGCAGCGATGGCGCTTGCCGCAAGCTGGGCCGCCTATGGCGCGATAGCGAGGTTGCCGCTGCAGAGTGGTTTATCGCTATCGCCATGTGCCTGCTGGCCCTCCAGAAACTGAAGGACGTCGACAGCTTCGCGACGATGTTCCTGGAATTATGACCTCCTCGCCAAACGATGGGTACCGTATGCCCGCATGCCCCTTCGCCGAAGGGGCTCGCCAGCGTCCTGATGATGTCCGGCGCGCTGATGTGGCTTTCGATACCCGTGGCGGCCTTCATCAGCACGATCAGGGGCAGCATCGGTCTTCAAGGCAGTTTATGTCGACAACGAGCTCAAATGCGCCTGTGTAGGCGGTGACAGCAAATGTCCCCCCTCGGTTCGTCTCCTCACCGAGAACGTCATGAAGTGGTCGCAATGGCAAATCTGGATGCTGATGAAGCCAATGGGGCTCAGGCTCGGGCTCGGCCACTGAAACAACATCGCCACGCGCCCTTTGAGCGTTGGCAAATTACGTCCGGCACTCCCGAGAAGAGTGGTTTACTAGCCCCTCATTTCCGCAATCCCTCGACCAGATCCTGATAGTGTCTGATGGAGAAACCGGCAGCCGAAGCGATCCATTTTCCTTATCTGGGGAAGCTCGCTCGCCCCGTGCCACATATGAATTGCGGCGCGCCTCAACGCCTCCAGACGCTCGCTCTCGTGCGGCGGTTCGCTCCACCCGAACAGAGATCTGAAGCAGCCGCTGAGCGCGTCCAGTTCGCGCAGAGAGCGCATCGATGCGCGGCGCGCGCTTACTACGACAATCCACTCTTGCGGGCTGAGGCTTGGCGTGCCGATCCGCAGGCCGTTTGCGCCTCATTTTACCGCGCCGAAGTTGACGCCATGCGCCGTGTCGCCGTTCCGCTCAGCCGTTTGATCAAAGCGGAAAGCCCGGCGCGGCTGGCATAGCTGCACCGCCGCGACCGCTCCAATTCCGTCGCCTCGAGCCAGGCGCATCATCGCGAACGCGAAGCAGGCTTGTTTTGACCCAGCCGGAAGTTGATAATTGTCTTTGCGCCGAAACAAGGATGTAAACTTTCGTCGGCTCATGGAGAGCTCCGCCGCCCACCGGTCAATCGACATGCCCGCTTGAGGAACGGCCGCAAAAGTCCATGCATCGTCGCACAAGCAGAGGATCAGCGGGATCGGCAGCCCGATCGGAAGCGTCGCTGAGCGCGATATCTCCACGGGAAGGAGGTCGAGGACCAGTCGGTCCCGCCGCTCTCCCTGATCCATCCAGAGCAGGTTGGCCCGCAGCATCGAGAAGCTCCCGCACAAGATCCGATATCCCTGATGACCTTTGAGACGATCGACCTCTTCAATGTCATGGCGAGGGATGAAGCGCACGTGACTGGCTTCGCTCGGAAGCGCAAGTCTGTGCGCGACACCGGCCGGGACGAAGATGCCGCACCCCGCTGGCGCGACCCAGCGCCCCCACTCGTCCCCACCGACAAGACGCTGCAAGCCGCATACAGCATGTCATATTCCGGCTGAACCTGCTCAAGTCCCGCGACCGGACCGACGCATGGGTTTCTGCCGCCACGATCACCGTCAACTTCGCGGGGCCGTCGGCATCGACGCCCTGACCGAACCGGAGGATCGATAATGCCTGCCGTTCAGGCAGGGCATGGACATGGCCGGGCTGCGGTCCATTCTTGCAGCAGGAGGCTTGCGCTTTGGATCGTTGTATCCTGCTGATCACTGCTTCGAACTGCTGTTCGGAAAAGCCTGCATTCAAAAATCGGTCGAGTTCAGCTTCCGGGATGGCGAACCCCCGATGCCGGTGCATGCACCGACACCTGCGCAACGCTTTCGAGACGCTTGTCCACAAAGGCCGGACTGGGCCGGTCACCTTCGAGGAACCGCCTCAGGAACGCCCTGAACGCCCCGGGTGCCAGAAGCGATGACAGGCGATCTCCGCGCGCAAGGGCGACAACAGACCATTCAATCGCGCTGAGCTGGTCGTTCATGACGCCCTGGGGATTCGAAGCACCTGACATGTTTGCTCAGGTGCAGCGATCGCGTGTTCGCCCATCGTCAATCGGTCGCCCTTCGTGAACGCCTTCATCTTCGATGAACGCCAGCTCATAGTCGTGAGACCGTTCGCCGTGCGTCAGTGTCAGGCGGGCGAAGAAGGAGTGCGGATGGGCCCACCGTCTGATCTGATTCAAGATATCCTCTCCTGCTGGGTGAAGCTGAACGTCTCGTTCGCGCCATCCCATCTTTCGGTCACGACGCGACATCGCTCGCGGGCGGGGCTCGCCCCCTGTTCCGACCAGATCCGAAGCCGGGATACGCCATTCCGTTTCCACGATTTCGAGCGCAACAAGATCGTGCGGTCTTGATGAGACGCCATTTTCCGGCACGCGTCTCGCTTTGTTGGCCGCGATCGTAAAAGTTGCGGTGGACGTGCGCGGCCGAACCCGCCGCGCGCGTCGCTTCGCTCTGCTGGCGACGCGACCGGCGGGATCGCTGGAGGCGAAAGGGCCACCGCAGGCGCAGCCGCCAGCAAGACGAGGGGTTCCCGCGATCGCTAAACCGCGCGCGCTTCAACATGGGATCATTATTCGCGCAGGATGCCTCGTTTACTGTCGGGTCGAAGGTGCCTGATCGAGGCCAGCTGCTATCGACTGTGCCCGTCCAGCCGCCGCCAAGGGGCCTTGTAGAGATTGATGAGGTTCGAGAGACGGGCGAGCCGCGCCTGACGAGCGCCTGCTGCGATCCGTAATGGGCGCGCTGCGCATCCAGCAGCGCCAAATTACCGTCCTCGCCTTCCTTGAAGCGCTGCTCGCGAGAGTTTGTAGGCCGCTCCGCTGGCTGCCTCGCGCGACTGCTCGGCTTTGATCTGATCATCGAAAGTCCGCTGTCCTGCGAGACCATCGGACACCTCCTGAAACGCCGTCTGGATCGCCTTCTCGTAAGTTGCGATCTCGATGCTTTTCTGGACCTTCGCCTGCTCCAGATTAGCGCGCAACGCGCCGCCGTTGAAAGATGGGCAGGTTGATCCGGGGCATGAAGCTCCGGG